AGAATCAGTACGTGCTCCTTGATCGGTTCCACATGGAGACAACATTCAGGGTTCTTCTCTCCATCCACAGTTTTGACTGGCTAGCCCCACTAGACTTAAGCGGGGCCTACCTGCACATACTGATGCACCCAGCAAGTTGCTATCTCCTTCGAATCGTCCAGCTGGGCCAAGTATTCGAATTTTGGGTGCCCCCCCATTCGGGTTAGACACAGCGCCCTACGTGTTCACCAGAGTGATGAAACAGGTAGTGCTGCTGCTTTACCAAATGTCGGTACACCTCAATCTGTACCCAGACTACTGGTTACTACACAACCCGGACAAGGGGTTGATAGCCAAACACATCAGGCTAACACAGGATTTACTTCACCAGTTGGGCTCTTTAGTAAATCGACAAGTCCCACCTCGACCCAACACGCAGTTGGTGTCCCTGGGCATGGAGTTTTGACACAGAGGTAAGCTTGGTTTAGCTATTTCAAGGGTATTGCTTAGCGCTAAGCAGCCTACCCGAATGCCTAGTCAGCCTTCCCTCAGTGTCCCTCCGATAACTAATGCGGATCATCGGAATGATGACCTCGGTTCAAAGGGTCGTTCTCCAGGCCGCACTACGCAGCCGCCCGGTATAACGCTTGTTATAATGCTGAGCTCTCCTATGGGAACTAGATAGGCGGGTTTTGATCTGGGACCAAGTGAAGGAAGCCCTGCCCTGGTGGCCGTCACTGGCCAACCTCAGACAGGGGGCCCCCTTGGACCCGCTCGCCACAGGTATGACTCTGGTAACTGATGCCTCCTCCCAAGGTTGGGGAGCACATCTATTGGACGAACAAATCCAAAGATATGGCCCCGCGATTGTTTGGGACTACCATATCAACCGGCTCGAACTGAAAGTAGTATACTGTAAAATGACTAATTTTCACTGGGTTTAAATTTCATTGATTTACCATTTCAGGCATATTCAGTGGGTTTTAAATTCACGGCTTCGTCATTTAGATAATGTGTTCTATGCTAAATTTTACATATTCACTGTGTTTTAATTTAGCGCATTTTTCCAGTCAGCGAAATAAGCTAAATTAAAACACAGTGAATAATTACCCCCTTTACAGAACTTAGCACTACCACGCTTTCTACCCGTAGTTTGAGACCACAGAGTCCTGCTCCGCACAGGCAACGCAATGGTGGTCTCCTTAGAGAAGGAAGGGGGGACGCGTTTCTCATTGTTGTCAGTCCTAGCGGAGCGAATCCTCCTTTGGTGCCAGGAATACAATGTGGAGCTAACCGCACACCACCTTCCAGGGGTAAGAAACAGTCTGGCAGACGCCCCTTCAGGGCGGCTCCGTCTCCATAACATGGGGTGGCTAATACAAGCCTCCAGGCTGTTTCGGCTGTAGGACGGTCCAAGGTTAGACCGGTTTGCTGCACCCCGGAAGGCCAAGCTCCCGACGTACGTAACACTCCTGCCGACTCCAGGACCCTGGGCCAGGGTCGCTTTGCTAACCCCGTGGACCCACAGTTATGTATGCCTTTCCTCCCTTCCCACAAGTTCACCGGACACCGGAGAAAACTTCGGCAGGTGCACACCTGCATAATGATATTATTATTGGTCGCACTCAATTGGCCAAACAAGGCCTAGTTTCCACTTCTGTCGGAAATGCTAGTCGAAACACCAGTAGTGCTTCCAGACTTACCGGACCTGCCATCCTAACCAGACGGCGCACTACCAACGAGCCCAGCGGGTATCACTTACACGCATAGAGGCTCTCATTAGACCCGTACATACGAAAGCTTTATCTGAGCAGGCTGCCAATGTCCTGGCCAGGGCAAACAGGGATTCCACCAATGCAGCCTACATTCCTAGGCTGCGAGCATACACTGATTGGTGTAGCAGAAGGGAGATTGATCCATACCATCCCTCTATTGGCCAGGTAGCAGGCTCCTTCGTCCACCTGTTTGACGAAGTGGGTTTGTCCTATGCAGCGATCGTTGGCTACAGGTCAGCCTTGTCCCCCACCATTGAAAGCGTACAGGAACAAGACTAGCCGATTGTCCTACTATTAGGAGACTATCTCCAGACGCCAAGACCCCATACAAGGGAACCGCCCAACTCGGACTTGTTGGCTGTGTTGTCCGCTCTAAGCAGACCCCCCTTTGAGCCTCTCTGATCAGCACCACTCAAATTTTTTGACACAGAAAATAGTCTTCCTACTGGCCCTCGCCTCAGGTAGGCGTCGACCAAAGCTGGGGGCATTGTCATTCTCGGCCGTCGTTATGGACAATCAAGTTGTACGAAAGACACGAATCGGGTTTCTCGCCTAGAACCAAATCCCAGGACACGATCCTCACCCTATCGTCATCCCCCGGCTGTCAAATTTTTGTCTGCCCGGAGGGTCAGGAGGAATTACTTCTCTGCCTGGTTTGAGCACGGAGTTGCTACCAACCGTACTAAGGATTCGGGACGGGGTGCCAGGCACATGTCTTTGTGTTTCGGCCCAGGCAGGCAGGATGGGCCAGCCTCCCCAACTTCCATAACCAGGTGGTTTACTGCGACTGTATTAGAGGTCTATAATACTTTAACTTCCTCGACACAGAGCTTGCAGAGACACCAAGAACGAGCGCATGAGGTCTGTGCGATTGCCAACTCACTAGTGCTAGCGTCAGGTGTCCCCCTCGAGCACACACGGAGGGTAGGCTTCTGGAGAATGCAGAACGTCTTTATCAACTACCACCTAACAGACACCGAATCCATTGAGGAAGGTCTCTTTAAGTTGGGTCCCGTCGTAGCAGGTCAGCCTTGGTTTGCTGACCCAGCCAGAACAACCACAATGGTCCCTGCGCATAGACAATAAGTCAGTCTCGGCACTCACCTGGAAGCTCCCAGGTCCCGCCTATGCCCTCATACAGAACTGTTTCGGTCTTTACTTCGAAAGCTTACTACCCCTAAGAATTGGGTTGGGGTCTAGCTTTCTCTGGCACACCGACCCTGTCACCGTAGCAGCATTTTGGGTTCTTGCTCCGGGGACAGCGCAGGCCTTATTTAGGGTGTTGACTGATAATTGTATTTCATCCCAGACTGGGAAAAGACTTTCATCATTTTTCTGTTTGCTCGAAAAACCCGCCACCTATCGGCACCTGACTATGCCTACAGTTCAAAATAGTCATTTTGACTGACCGGAGTCTATGGTGGGTAATTGAACGTAGTGAACTTAGGCAGTTGGTTCTCCGAACCCACCTATTCACATAGTTCATACCCACCATAGACTCTGGGTCCCCCCCAACCACCCCACTCTTTCCATAGCGTTGGTCTAAGTCCTTGAAACGGAGAGAAAGGAACCAGAGTGATTGTACAGCCGTTTATGGCGCTGCCATATGGCCTCGGTCACGTGGTTTGTGACGTAAGGGAAAGAGAATCTTGGGGTCATGGGGCTTCCCCTGACCTAGATTCTATCTCTCCTCACCGACAGAATCGCTGATTAATGCCTACAGTTCAAAATAGTAATTTTGACTGACCGAAGTCTATGATGAGTATGAACTATGTGAATACGCAGGGTTCGGAGAACCCTCTGCCTAAGTTTTTTCCTCTTACTTTTATGAAATGTTTTCCTACACAATATTTGATATTTTGCTCATCTGCTTGATATTTCCAATGTAATAGAGCTGTCTTCAAAGACTATTTTGGTAACCATTCCCACAAACATATCACAGTTTCTAAATCCTTTTATCCTCTACTACAATTTATGTTATTAATCTCGATTGGGGAGCATTCAGGTTTAGTACAATGAACAACACAGTTGGTGTTATTCTTTTCCAAAACCACATGTATTTTAGTCCACAATATTCTAAAATATGAATGCACAATGTTACCGCAGAATAAGTTAAATTGCCACAGGTTTAACAGCTCTTTCCTCAAGACCCATAAACAGAATTAGAAACTGTTAAAGGGTGGTGGTCACCATGATGTGTTGTGTTCGATATGGGTCACATGTGAAGTTGACAATGTGTTAATATATATTTTTGTTTATACAAAATTTTATGATTTAAAAATATTCTCATGAGAGTACAATGTAAGTAGAAATTATTCATTGCTGTTTTATAGATGGCAACCAGTAGTAGATAATTGATAAAACCATCATAAAAAACTTTTCATCAATTGTGTTTCCCAATCAACATTTTTATATATTTTGCTATAATATGTTAATTTTTCTGTAAATTTTTGACCAAATTGGTATAATTTGTCATTGCCTACAGGTCTGGATCAAAATTTTTGAGAAAAATATGGAAAACTATCCTGTCGGTTAATTTGTTTTGTTTTGTGAAGTGATAAATTTGACGTTTGTTGGTTAAAGCTAGGGCAGCCATTGTACCCTGCCTGTCAATGGTCAATTTGTGTGTACCGGTAAATAAGTAATACATTTCAGCCACATGTAATGCCCCCTGTGATTTATAAACTCATTCAAGACACTGTGTGATGTGATTTATTGACGTAGGAAATCTTTAGCACAATTTACTGAAGAAGAGAGAGAACAGATTGCACAGCAAGTGGAAGAATTTGAACTTGAAAAAGAAAGACTTGAACAACAAGTGATATACCAGTGGGATGACTCCGGCAATGATATTATCATATTGGCCAAAAATATGTGTATGATTATGATGGAAATGACTGACTTCACAAGGTAACCATGGTGATTGTGTTTTTATTGAGTAAAAACAAAATAAAATATTCTTTGTATTATGATGTGTGTGAGCCTCACAATTAGGATATTCAAGTTAATACTATCCTTTGTTTACCTTGGGTGTTTCGCAATTACGCAAGCATATTTGTGAAAAAAAATAATCGCTGTCATTTTGTGCTGTTTTACAAATATGAAAAGATGTATGATAATAAAGTTATGATGAGAATGACACAAAGTTGTTGGCCAATACAACCATCATACTGCATAATTTGCAATTCTTGTAATATGCTTGTGTCTTTAGTGTTATTTGTTTAATTTTTAATAGATTGAAATGAAATTTAAATTTGTTGCAGAGGTCGTGGTCCTTTGAAAACGACAATGGATGTAATCCACGCAGCAAGAAGAATTGCAGATCAGGGCTCGAAATTGGACAAACTGGCCCGGCAAATTGCCGAATTGTGTCCACATTCACAGTCCAAAGATGACCTTGTAGCTTACCTGCAGAGAATTGCTCTGTATTGTCACCAGTTGAACATATGTAGTAAAGTGAAAGCTGGTGTGCAGAGTGTTAGTGGTGAACTTGTGGTGTCTGCAGTAAGTTGTCTGTATATGGACTGCATGTGCATGTGTTGTCTATGTAGGGACACAGTGATATCATTTGCATGTTATGTTTGTGTCTTGGCAGTTGTCAATGTGTTCTCCACCTTATTGTATAAGGTTTTAACGCATCAACCGCTGATGTCTGTTTTTCCATTTTTTGGCTACTCGTATCCATGGAAACTTTCAGCAGGCCATGTGTTGAACAAGTTTCAGGTTTATTACACTACTGAACTTATGCCACGGTTTATTCCATGAAAGAGCGGTTTGTTTTATGTCTAGTCATTTGTAAGATGGTTTGGTGCATGCTGCATTTAAAAAAAATTCTCAAGCATTACAGAGCTGAATAACTTGAATAACAGAAAAAGTTTGTAATATTTCTCGAACATAATATGCGATTTCTATTTTCATATCATCCAGGATACGACAACCGTACGCCTTTGTGCAGTCTTTGTGGTACTAAAATTAACCTAGATGAGTAATTTTAACAGATTTGATGCAAAACTGATCTTCGTAAAACTATAAATTCGTAATGACCATGGTGATATCAACTACCTTTCACATATGAAAACATAGACCAGAGAATTCGAAACTGTTGAATATCTGTTAAAGTAAATGTCTCAATGAATTGAGATAGGCGAAAGATAAAATATTCTACAATCAGTGGTAAACTACTTTAGGGTTACTATACACAATGTATGGAAGTATGAAAATATTCGGCAGAGATTTCGGTGAAACATGCGAGAAATTCAAAATATCATATTTTTGTACAATCTGTTAATATTTACGGTAGTCTTACAATATATTGAAATAGACAATACTAAATTTGTGATTGTTTATAGATAAAATGTATTGCAATAAATATAAATACCCTCGGTATTATGAATACTAACATGCTGGGAAATCTTTTCAACTGCCAAGATATGCATGAAAAGCATGTGATTCTGCTTGTATAGTTTATATGCCCTTGCATGTGATGACGATAACATTCACGAGCTACAAAAAAAAATATTTCTTGCATTAACCTTAATTTGCTTTAGCATAACTCTATATATTGCTAATATTTGGATACAGCATTCTGATTATATTAAATAATTTTTTATTTATTTTTTTTATTTTTTTTAATAAAATCCTAATGTATCAGAAAATAATAATTTAATTTGGAATTGAATATAATTTTGCACTGTATTGATTTTTTTTATTTTCAAAACTCAAACACTGAATTCAACCCATTTCACACTGATTTTGAGTGAAATGGGGAGAGAAATATTTATTGAAAACTTGAGCAAATCTGACAGTGTGACAAGGACATAAAACTATACAACACTACCAGTATTACCAGCCAACTATCTGCACGCTATATACATCTGTATTATGCATTATTGTTTCATCATTGCATGATTTTATTTTTATATCTTGTTCAGTTTTGTCTGTTAAACTGCATGCATTCATTGTCTGCTTGTGATAAACATGTTTAACTTTTCATCACATCTTTTTTAAACCTTCTCCCCCTGTACTGTATTGAATATTGGTATGATCCTGTTGTTTTCTCAGGGTGGACCTATAATCCACCCTCCAGCAATTGGATGTGGAAAGGTTAGCATTTTGGTATAAACCTACTACGCTGGACAGTCTGCACCCTTTTATAAAATAGTAATTATTCACACACATGGAGTGCATGCATGGTTTATACTAACATTTAAATTAAGCTCCTTGCATATATTAAGTATCTCTGTTGTCACTGGTGAAAAACAATCAGATCATACCAAAATATGAGTACATCTGGGGGTGAGAAGGTTGATCTACACAGGGGCATGTAAGTTCATCTAGTAAATTATAACCTGTTCTTCAAAACCTTTGTTACTTCATATTAATTGATGTTATACATAAATCTCATCACAATATATTCTATAATTAGATCGGATTATATCTGTGCCATGTAATTTTATTGGTCAGTTTTCAGACTAGAATGGAATTCCAACTTTTATGTTGCAGCCATTTTACCAGTAATCAAGAAGTCCACGTGCATTAGGATCCCACGTAAACTGTGGAGCATAGTTCACAATCGTTTTCACTAAGCCTTACATCATGTGATTAACTATATATGAAAACATCTAATTCAGAAAAACAATACGTAAACAAAAAATAAAAAAATGTTATCAAGAAACATCCTTGGGGTTTGCAACCGAAAAAAGAAAAGTAACAGTTTGGTTGAAATTGTCAATGTTGTCTGCTTCATTCAGTTTAGTGATCAATTGTATATAATTTGCCATAAAGTGCCATAATTTGTCCCGCTAAAATTGATGCAACATTTTGCACTGTTTTTAAGTATTTTACTATATTTCCGGTATTAATTTTCTACCAAATATACATAATTTGTCATTGACTACTGGCTTGATCACTTTTTGATGAAAATATGGAGTAAAAATGGTAGTGGTTTATTTGGTGAAACTTTGACACTTAAAAAGTTATGTTTCCATTTTGAATCAAACTTATATGTTTCATATGACTCCCAGGTATGATCTTGAAATAAATTTGGTATAAATACACAAAAAATGTGAAAATTAGTTTGACAGTAAATTGCTCATTTTAATGTCACATTCAGAGAATATTTTAAGAGATATACCAGCACTATGTTCACACATTTCTTACTCTGTTTGTATTAGCGCTGTTCGTCTGTAATGTACGCATTCCAAATTTATCTAATCCTGCTCTATTTGCTGCACATGTGACATAAGAATAGGCAAAACATAACATAAATTAAGAAGACTAATCTTCTTTTGACCCCCCCTCCATGTTAGAGTTCAATTGCATGCAGTTCTTGATTCCCCTTATTGTTGAATTTAGATTTTGTGTAGTCTTCCATTGCTTGTGAGTGATCTAAAAATATCTTTTAAGTATTTATAAATCTTTACCATGGCAACCATTACCATAGCGATATATGATTTGTCATTTTTAAACCCGTTATATACTAGTCAAGAGTTTTGAGACATAAAATTACTTTTGTGAAAAACATTTATAGTTATTAAACCCGGGAAAGAAAAATGTTTCTGGTTAATTCTGTTACCCTGAAATCATTTTATTTAATTTTTTTAATATTTTCAAAAAAAATAATAATTTTATTTTAATTCTCCATGAAAATTAAAAAAAATTTTTTTTAAATTCTGAAAAAAGCTACGATCACACATTTTTAACAGATGTGTATGATGACTAGAAACATAAATATCTTTTCTGGGTCTCTTTTGTTAATGCATCAAAAAAAAAAAAACATTTTTGTTCTAGTAAGTAACATAATAATTTAAACTGTTTTAACTTGTTTCAATATTTTGGTATTTTCTCATTAGTTTCCTTTTTTTGACAGCTCGACAGTGCAACATCTTTAATCCAAGCTGCTAAGAATTTAATGGCAGCTGTTGTACAAACAGTAAAAGCATCATATGTGGCATCTACTAAGTATGCAAGACAGAAAGGACAAGCAAAAGTAAGTGACTGATTGTGATTGGTCTTTTGAGAAAAACAAAAGATTATATATACTTTGCCTGTAGTAGTGCACTACATCAGTTTTGGTGTTGCCAATTGTTTTTTGTTTCTTGATAGAGATCCTTTCATTATTTACTTGGGATGATACTATTTTAATAACGAAAAGCTATTTTTATTTTTTATTATTTTAGTCACCAAACAGTGAATGTGTGAATTGTAAACAATTAAACATGTATACTAAATGTATTCAGCATAATGTGCTACCAACTGTGTGAGGACAATTTTCTTTTCAAAATCAGTAAAAGTATGTCCGAGAAATAGTAAAGCCAACATGGTCACCAATCAGCCATTTTGAATCAAATCATAAAGCAAACTGACATGTTTCAAAACCATATGTGTGATGTTCATGCCAAGTTAATCGGCCAATGCATGGCTTGAGATATGCAACAAATCAACATGCGTTTGTATACCGTTATTTTGGTCTTTGTACCAACTTTAAAAAGAATCGGTCAGGGTACATTCAATATACTGTAAAATGACTAATTTTCACTGGGTTTAAATTTTGCTGATTTACCATTTCAGGCATATTCAGTGGGTTTTAAATTCACGGTTTTATCATTTAGATAATGTGTTCTATGCTAAATTTTACATATTCACTGGGTTTTAATTTAGCACATTTTCCAGTCAGCGAAATAAGCAAAATTAAAACCCAGTGAATAATTAACCCCTTTACAGTATGGCTAAGGGCTCTTGAAAATAGAAACAATATGGCTACCAGTCGGTAATGCAATCTGATTGTGAAACAAATTGACCTGCATTAGTAACCCACCATCAGTGAAGTTTAAATAAAATTGGTCCAGGCGTACCTGAGAAATTGTTTTTGGGGATTCACCCTCTGAGCTGCTACTATTATAATCCATGTACCATAAGAACAGCCCCTAAATGAGACACATTATATGAAATACTAAATGAATGCTATAGGTGAACTTAATAAGACTCAGCTGCAGGTGAGATACATAGGATATATCAGCCAACAACAACATTGTAATAATATACAAAATGTACACAGCTTCAGGTAAATCTTAGCATACTATTAAAGTCAGGTTAACAGTTAACCATTTTTATGGCGCACCATCAGTTAAATGTTAGAGACAGTGTACTAATTTTCACTTGGCTAAAAACTGAATAAAACCGAGACTATATCAACAGTAATTTGTAATCTTTTTTGGTCAATTTCGCATAAATTGATTTCTAAACTGCCTTACCATGAAAAACCACTCCTTTAATTCTTCTTTTGAAGACAATGATGGTACCAAGTCACCTGGCAATTGAGCGACTCCCTGCCATCACTGAGTTGGTTAAATTAAATTCCAAAAATAACAGAAGAAGTACCTCCAATTGTGGGAAACACGAAATAGCCACCAATAATTCAATTTCACTGTTAGTGATGTCATTAACAAGTTTGATTAAAATCAGCTCAAGCACCTCTGGAAATTATTGATGACATGTTCTGATTTCTGATGTTTTTTTGAAATAAACTAATAAAAAAAAAATAATCAACGTCCACTATGTGTCCAATTATGTTTTACCTTTGTACATGTATCAACTTGAATTGTTTGTTGGGTTGATGTAGTCTCCAGTTACCATGCATTGAAATGTTTGTTTGTTGCAGTCCCCTGTTGTCATGTGGAAAATGAAGGCACCAGACAAGAAACCTCTGGTGAAGCGTGAACATCCAGATGAACTCAGAGCCAAAGTGAGAAAAGCATCCAAACAGAAAGACATCAACCCAGTACAAGAACTTAGTGAATTCAAAGGAAGTGATAGTTTCACATCAGTGTAGTATAACAGCTATATACCATTCTTATTACCATACAGCACAGTCTCCTCAACTAAGAATTATATTATTGTATAGTGTAATAAATTTATACTACTGATAACCAAATTATCTTTCATAGCTTTTATATAGACTAGTAAGTTTCTAATAATTATCTAAATACACCATTATTGCATAGTGTAATAAATTTATACAACTGATTTATTGTAATATACTTGCCTTGTGTTTAATTGTTTTATTTTTAGAGGAAATTATTGAAATGTAATTGTCACCAGTTGATCGCAATGAATCCAACTAAAGAATATAGATTCATTCTTGCATAAACATGTTGATATTTTACTGTTTCAGTAAATGAAAGTATTTTTATTTTGGATGAACAATGAAAATATATTTAGGTTTTTACCTTATGGCACATGTCTTATTGGTATGCTGAATGCTAGATTGCAAAATCATTTTTTTTTTATATTGTTTACACACTTGTTGAATACCTTATGTGGGACCCATGGGTAACACCATGGCTGGGATGTGTTATTATTTAGATGCATCTTACTAATTTACGCCATTTTCTCGGATTTATACTAACTCTGAAATTTACTGAAATTCCTTTGTGATCAACTGGAAGACATCAGTTGTGTAAACTATAAAACAAAGTTAGTTTGTTTGCAGTACTTTAATATCAGTTTGATTTAGTAAAAGTTTTATATTTCTCTAGGTGCCAATTAATAATACTATAATGTTAACATGCATGATATTTTACCTAATTTAGCTATCATTTGTTTTTTGTTAATTGAGCATAACAGATTTTGGCTAATTAAGGTTCTGTTAATTAAAATTTTCTTGATTCACCTTTGGAAAAAAAAGTCAAATATGCTTTTTTACAAGATAATTTTTTCAAACATTTTCATCTGCAGCCAATGGAAAATCATGTCTATTCGGTCCAAAATTAACTATTAAGAAAGCATAAAAAAAAATGTACAAAATGTTGCATCACGATTTTGGGAGAAAAGGGGGTTAAAATGGCATGCAGCTTTTTAAAAATGATTTACAATATTCATGTGATTTTAACTACCGGTAGTCAATAACAGTTTTGCATGTTTAAAAACATTCGCTCATGGCAAATTCATGTTTTCAATATGGGTGTCAGGAAGCATGTAACCGGGTGCCAATAAGCATGTAACCAGGTGCCAGGAAGCATGTAACTGCCTGAAAATAATAATCAACAATAGAGTACAGAACAAAACTCACAACCAGATGGTGTAAAATGCTGGCTATTCTCTCAAAGTCACCTCTAGAGGGTGCACTTAATGTAATTTTACATAAATACCTGAAGTAATTTATATAAGGTTGGTTATTATTGGATGATTTATTCATGACTTCTTTTTCATATTTTAATTTTGTATTTTCAGAAATTTAAAGAATATGGCTGAAAAATGATGTCATTTTGTAGTTCTTTTGCACAAAATGGACAATTAGTGCAGAATATTGAATAAAAAAAACAAAGGTTATAATGAATCTTATCCTGCTTACCACCCTACTTTATTTTGAACAATTTTATCTTTGATTAATATCTGTATGTCTTTAAAAAAAATGGAAATCTGTGTTGCTGATATCTCTGAAATTCTTGCCGTAATTCTGGGAAAATATGAATTTCAGAAAAGTTCTTTAAAATGAAGCTTTATCTGATTCTACCCATGTTCTGTTTTTGATATAAATCTTTGTCAAATCAGTTTGATTTACAATGTTCATTTGTTCCTTTTTCACACAAAAACAAACACTATTTTAAAAAAGTGTTTGCTGTATTTTTTTTTTTTGGCATTCCTTGTACATTTGTATTGTGTGTGCTGTGCTACATAGATGTGTGTTTATAGTGTTTATTTTAGAACAAAATTAAAAAGCAATAATAGTGGCTGTACATGTAAATTTATTTTATTTCATGTTTTTTAAAGGCTGATATTTAGGGAGCTGTTTTATTACGATATAGTGAATTTTTGTTCAGAAGGCTGAAATGTTTAAATATGCTGATATTTTCAGAAGTGTCATATTCATATTGTGATGAGCCACACTTTATGTGTGGCATTGGTGATTTTTACTTCACTTGTCTGTCACATGTACACCTTGATTTACTTTAGGACACTGCCCTCTTGTGATGAAAGTATTTTCACGTTTGTTTTTATTATTGGTAGGGATGCTGTATTAGATGAAAAACATAGATAAAAAAATTTGCTGTTCTTTTTAGTGGAAAACATTGAAGAAAAAAAAAATTTTAACCTGAATTATACGACTCCTTGGAACTTGTGCAGCATATTTTCTTGTATAGTTATCCTGCGAACACTGCCCGTAAGGGACGACGTCAAATGATCGATGTCGGATAAAAAAACTTAATTCCTTTAGTTTTTTTCCAAACCCCCCTACCCCCAACTGAAACTTAATTGATAAATATTGGTCATGGCGTCAGACTACATTCACCATTAAATACAAATTGATAATCGGACAGTAGTATTGCATAGCAGTTGGTTGTCGGGTGGGTGTGAAAAGATTTTACAAATGCACCTCATTTGACGCACAGACTTACACTTGAACCAAACCATTTTTCTGTTTTTTTCCTTTTTCGGTTATTTCTGTCAATGATTGGATAGAAAAAAAAACGAATTACAAATA